TTCGCCGATGACCGTTTGTTTCCCTACAGTTTCATCACCTTAATGAGATCTGCAAACGCTTGCGAACGCGCGAAGTGGTATGACCTTTACTGTGAATGGTTGTATAAGCTTCATAATAAGTATATTATCTTCATAGGAGGATCTGTACAAGCCCTTACAAACCATCTCGCAGCCTCACCTGAATTTACAAGTCCAAGTCGACGAAAACTAAAAAATTGCCTCCCCTCCCTCAGAGCCAAACAGCGCCATCTGGCATTAATTACCATTAGCCAAAGCGGAAGAACTTGATTTCCACTTAAGAAAACGTATATTGGTGATTTCCTCCAGGAATAGAGCCTAATAAATCTTGGCGTAATTCTCTTCCGAGGTCTCGCACGCTGCACATAGTGCGTCATGGGCGAAGCACATGGGGCAGCATGTGCAGCGTGTGTTAATATAACACAATGTAAGAATATCTCTTTTCAAAACTCACCAGGTCTTAGCAAAGCGCTATCAAGCTGATCCGGACGGTTAGTCGCAGCAAGCAAGAGCACACCGCTCTGTTTTTCAAGCCCATCAAGTTCAGTAAGAAGTTGGGCAAGTACGCGATCAGAAACGCCTGAACATGAGTTTTTTCTGCCAGAGTTTATGTCACTCAGTAGTAATGAGAGAAGCTGTATTTGTCTGACCCACCAGAACTTTTCTCGGATCCTCTCGAGCTTCCAACCGGCATCAATTTCATCGAAGAATACAATCGTTGGCGCTACCTGCAAGTTAAACAACAACTATCGGAAGACACAAATGTGTGGCAGTAATTGATAGCACTTTAAAAAATTACTTGTCTTGCTCTGGAAAACAGGTCTCGTATCGCTTTCTCCGATTCTCCTACCCATTTGCTGAACAGTTCTGGACCCTTCACGGCTAAGAAGTTCATCTTCGACTCACTAGCAAGAGCGCGAGCAACCAATGTCTTGCTACAGCCAGGCGGCCCATACAGTAAGATTCCTAAGAAGTAAAGTTTCACCTTAGTTGATTACCCTTATAGTTCACTTATTTTCTCCCTAGAGGAGGTAGGGTACTTCTCCTAGAGATTTTCTTCCTGCTCCAGAGAGCTGGGACGACACGAATACAGGAGCATCGCGAGCAAAGCATTGAACAATTCAACCGGAACTCCAAGCTTTTACACTTACATCTAACTCTACGATTTTCAGGACAAGCAGAGAGACGTATTTCCTACTTTCCTGGTTTACATCCTAGAGCATAGTTCACAATCTGCAATCCTGACGAATCGGAGAAATGCCGCACTGGCGAGTTGGTCCTCACACTTCTCAATAGGGAGAATCGGCGAACTGCTCGGGCAAACCCGGCGCCATCGCGTAAAGGATCAGATAGATGTTGAGTGGGAGAATGTGCAGCCGCTCATGCGATTCGCTACTTTTCCTATGTCGCTGACTTCCACAACCGATATGTACGGTTGATTCCGTCGCGATCGCTCAGGGTGGGGTGAGAACGAGCCCACCGGCGGCGTTTCCACCACTGGTTGTTTTTTCTGAAATCGACCACCAAACGATCACTACCGGTAGAGCAAGGAAGCCGGAAGGGGCTTCATTCCGCCCCTCTTCATACATATCGCACGCGTTAGACGTGTGTCACTTGAGAAATCTCACCAAGAATATTGGAATTAGCAGTATGGAAACACACCTGAAGGAGGATCAATGCCGAGTCGTTCAAATGCGTCTCGATGCTTTTGTGGCCAAATTACAGCCTAAAACGTGAAATATTATACCAATTATGTTCTCGCAATTACACCAAAGATGGAGAAGAAAAGAAAACAAACAGTATACCTGCTGAATTTCAAGTTTTAGTTCATCACTACCTCCAATGTCATCCCAGCTCACGTGAGGCACCTAAACATTCCACTAACGTTCTCCTACTAGTATACACCTTCTTCTTGTACAGAACTGCAAACCTCTAGAATGAACTGCCGAATTCCTGTCGGCCGTACACGCTTTCGAGCATTCTCCAGCTTCTCGCTATCATTTCGCCCTTCTGTGAAGCGGGAGGCGAGGACTAACGATTTCAAATCGCCTCCAGTGAAACCATGCGTTCGTCTTGAAAAAAAGCGATGTTTCGATTGGGCTAACAGTCAAGCAAATTACAACCCATCCGTTAGGATAATAGGTTCAATGTCAGGATACTACACTGGATAAAACGCTGGGGTGGTAGAAGTAATGGAACTCAGCATGAGCAGATAGCAGTTCGACTCGGGAAGGGTGACCACTTGTCACGAAATGTGGAGAAAATCTCTACAGAAATGCCTGTTTCTTGCGAAAATAGCTGATGAATTCCGTGAGAACTGGTATGACTACCGCGGAGTCACTGTTTAACGCCGCAGTTCGTGCTCTGGAATTTACTGGGGAGCGCTGATTATGAGTAGAAGTGTTGCCCCAGGGTATGTGACAAGAGGATCGTAATTCGCCGCGC